CTCTCTCTCCCTCTCCCCCTCCCTCCCCTCCCTCCCCCTCCTCCCCCTCCTCCTCCCCCTCCCCCTCACCCTCCCCCCACCTCTCTCTCTCTTTGAACCTCGCATCAACTCTCGTTACTCCGTCCGCCAACAACGTAGCGAGACAATGATCTTCGATGGCCTCCGCAGCCGCTTCCTTCCTATGTTACAAATATATATCTTCATGATTTTCAAAACGCCAGGAAAGCATTCCGCCAAGGAGGTGTTTTAGCTTCCTGGTACAGCGCAGCTTCAGGAATGGAAAGTCTTTCGTGCCCCTTTCTGTCTGTCTGTCTGTCTGTCTCTCTCTCTCTCTCTCCCTCTCTCCTCTCTGTCCTGTCTGTCTGCTCTCTCTCTCTCTCTCTCTCTCTCTCTCTCTCTCTCTCTCTCTCTCTCTCTCTCTCTCTCTCTCTCTCTCTCTTCTCTCTCTCCTCTCTCTCTCTCTCTCTCTCTCTCTCTCTCTCTCTCCTCTCTCTCTCTCTCTTCTCTCTCTCTCTCTCTCTCTCTCTCTCTCTCTCTCTCCATCCGTTTCCTTCTTGCGCCCCTCCTTCCCCGCCCCCGCCCTCACACACATTCAAGAGGCCACCTTTGTTATGAATTTGCTCGCATCTATTATTCCTCTCAGTGTCTGTCCTCGCCCGACCCTTCCCTTCCCTCCCCCGCTCTCCTCTCTCTCTCCTCCTTCACTTCAAGCCTCCCCTCATTCTCTTCTCTCCGTTCAATCCTTTTATCTTTCCCTCCTTCCTTTCTAAGATCTCTTTCCTACTTTCCTTAAGCCTCTCTCACCTTTCTTCTCTCCATAATCCTTCCTTACTCTTCGTTCTTCTTCTTTTCCCTTTCCTCCCCTTTCACTCCCTTTCTTCCCTCACTCCTTTCTTGCCTTACTTTACTCCTTTCTCCTTCCCTCTCTCCCTTCTTCCTCTACCTACGCTCCTTTCTTATTCTGATTTTTTCCCTTCCTCTCCCCTACACTTCTCTCGTCCTTCACCCCTTCCTCTCCTTCCCCTATTTTACTTCGCTCCCCTTCCCTTTCCCCCTTCTTTCTCTACTTTCTCCCAAGCCTCCCCTTAAACCTCTCCCTTCCTCCTCTTGTCTCAGATATCTCCTACACTCCTTCCCTTCCCTTTTCTTCCCTCAAGCTTCCTTTACCTTCTTTCCCCTCCCTCCCCTACCCTCTTTCCCTCCCTTCCCCTACCCTCTTTCCCCTCCCTTCCCCTCTTTCCCTCCCTTCCCCTACCCTCTTTCCCCCTCCCCTCCGACCCCGACCTCTGACCGCCTTTGCCGCTTCCCCTGACCCCGTTCGACCTGCCTCCTCCTTCCCCGGAGAGCCTGGACGTCGCTAATGACCCTCGTTCGGCGCTCTATCTCCCTCGCTCATGACTCATTGTGCTCATTACTCGGCACCTTCCTTTTTTCCCTTTCTTTGTTTGTTTTCTTTATCTTGTTGTCGATGGTGGTGCTGGAATTGTTGTTGGTTTTCGTGTTTTATTTTTTATTTATCATTTTTGTTGTTGTTGCTGTTTTTTTCTTCCTTGGCTTGGTCTTGTTTTTTCTTTCTTTTCATCTTCTTCGTCATCATCATCATCTTCTTCCTCCTTCTCCTCCTTTTCTTCTTCTTCCTCTTCTCCCCCTCCCTTTTCTTCCCCTTTATATTCATCTTCATTATCTTTACCTTTATCTTCCCCTTCTTATTCTTCACTTCATCTTTTCCTCATACTCCTTTTCTCTCTTTCTGTTTATCTTCTTCGCTTACACATACTTTACTTAATTCTCATTTTATTCTCTATTTCCCCCTGTCCGCCAGGTTGCAAGTTTACACCTCTTACATTTTTCCAGTAATTGCAATATTGGAATCATTATACAAATTAGATAGAAGGTAGTTATTTTGAGGTATTATCTAAAACAACATCAATTACGTTATTACTTTGATATTAGCTTTTTAAAAATCATTTTCACTTTTCTTCGTTGTTGTCCCGATGTTTGTTATACATAATCTATTTCGCATTCACTTTGATATAATTTCTAAATGGAATAAATTTTCATCTAGTGTCTCTGGTTTTCGCTGTTCTACGTTTTTGTTCAATACTTTTCATTCGGGTTTAAACTCCATTTCTTTCTCGATTTATTATGTGTATTTATTTTTTTATCTTTTAATGTGCCTGTCTGTCTCTTTCCTCTCTTTGTGTTTCATTTTCTCTCCCCTGAGCCACTTCTCCCTTTATCTTCTTTCTATTTTTCTTTTCTACTTCCTCCTTCCTTTTCCTCACACTCTCTACTTACTCACACTCTCTCTTCCCTCCTTCCTTCCTCCCTCACACTCTCTCTCTATTTATTTTCACTTTATTCCCTTACCACCCGCTCTATCCATCTCCCTCTTTTTTGGCCATTCATCAGCATCCCTTCCTCTCTCGCCAGTCCCCGAGTCCCGCTGAAAATCCCTTTCTTGCCCGAATCTATCAAGCTCTCTCACCTTGGCTTCCGGCGGCCCTGCGCCCCCCTCGTTGTTATGCGGACGAGCACGACCACGCGTTGTACCCGCCGGAAAATTTCTCTCAAGACAAATGAAATTGTCCCCCTGGTGGCGGTTTCGGAAACTATCTTGGGGAGGCGGCTAGAGGGGGGAACTCGGGTCGTGCTCGGGTCATGACCTGAATGTGTTGACGATTAGAGTCCTTGGCAGCGCTGGCTTCGTCACAAGTCAAGCCGAGCTGTGTGGAGCCTTCTGGAGACACGGACTTTTTTTCCTATCAAATTGTTGCATTTTACAAGGAATATGTGGCTAGGGACATACTTATATTCTTCCTGAAGATAAAATATTTTATGACGGCTCCAAAAGATTAGAGTTTATTACGCTGGAGATACGAAAATTGTGAAACCCACTAGCAACGCAGCGCAGTCTGCATAAATACATATATAAAATACACGCACACAAAAAGATGATGAAAGTCTAGGGTGAACACGCACATATGTTTTTATGTCTGTACATATATATATATATATATATATATATATATATATATATATATACATATATATGTATATATATATATATATATATATATATATATATATATATATTATATATATTATATATATATATATATATATATATATATATATAAATAGACCGCATGCATGCATCCATCCATACATACATATACATATGTAATATAAACACATACATACATACACAAACACACATATATATGTGTGTATTTGCATGCATGTACAAACACACACACATACATACATGTATATATACATATACATATATACACACATTACGTACTTTGCCTTTGTGTTTGAATACGACAGGAAGAACGAGGAACAATTTGTGTTGACACTCGTGTCAAGAGTTTTCACTTTCCTTGGAGTGCGCGACAAAACCACATTCCTCGCAAAAAAAAAAAAAAAAAAAAAAAAAAAAAAAAAAAACACGTCTGTTGGGTCTCAAATAAGAATACTCGACACAACGTGGCTGTTTTTGGCGATGCTTGTTCAGTAACTGCGAATAAAAGCGGCGAGAAGCTACAGTTTAATCAAAGCCTGCAAGAGAGAAGATATTATTGCTGTAAGACACTTTTCCAATCCATGTGCTAAATTCAAGTGACTAAAGCAGTCAATTACACTCTTCCAACCCTTCCTACTCCCGCCTTCTCTCTCTTTTTCTTTTTCTCTTCCGTTTTGCTCTCTTCTCTCCCCTTTCCATTCTCTGCTTCACTAGCACCTTTGTCTTAAAATACAGTTCCACTTGACAACATAAAAGTTCACCAACATAATTCTACAACTTTGTAATGAGCATAACTTTTTCCTCCAGAGATATTTTCCTCAATCATTCTAGTTAACTACCTGTCTACATTTTGCATAGCCCCCGTTCTGCCCTCTCTTCTTCTTTCTTCTTTCTCTCTTTTTCTCTCTCTCTCTCTTCTCTCTTTTCTCTCTTTCCTCTTCTCTCTCTCTCTCTCTCTCTCTCTCTCTCTCTCTCTCTCTCTCTCTCTCTCTCTCTCTCTCTCTCTCTCTCTCTCTTCGCTCTCTCTCGCTCTCTCTCGCTCTCTCTCGCTTCTCTCTCTCTCTCGCTCTCTCTCTCTCTCTCCTCTCTCTCCTCTCTCTCTCTCTCTCTCTCTCTCTCTCCTCTCTCTCTCTCTCTCTCTCTCTCTCTCTCTTAATATATATATATTATATATATATATATAATATATATATATATATTATATATATTATTACATACATATATATATATACTATACATATATATATATATATATATATATATATATATATAATATATATATATACATATATATATATATATATATATAATATATTATATATATATATATATATATAATATTATATTGATTACACCGGTCCAGACAGGAACCAGAATCCCATCAGAGGAACGGGGAAGACATCATTAAGAAACCTGACGTGTATAATGCGTCCTCGAGATTGCACAATGACCTTAAAATCGCTCTTAATTACCTTATGAGGCTACTGTGGTGTGAATTATTACAGTAATGGACGTAGGGGGAAGGAAATGCACTTTTTAATGACCGGCCATTAAATATAGCGGGAGAAAAAAGGTAGTAAAATTGCTTGATAATTGGATGAAGAAAAAAAATTGCATAAGGAGAGGCGAATCGATAAATTTGATAATCATGATCAAGCTTTTAATAAAATTGGTTGTAAAAAAGGTGATAATGACAATGGCAATAATGCCAACAGTAATAATAATAATAATAATAATAATAATGGTTATGATTATAAAGTATAACTAAAAATATAATCATTAAAACAGTAATAATAATGAAGATGATGATGACATCCGATATGATAAATTTCCGAGCGGCGTCCCCTCGCACCTCCCCCCCCTCTTACATACACACACACAACACCACACAGCGCGCTTGGCTGTCCCTTGCCTCACAATCAAGGAAGGGAGAGTACACCGCTTCGTGACATGCTCCTAAAGTTGGGACTCGATGTCGTAAGTTAGTTGGGCTGCGGTCTAACTTACCTTTAATGAAGTGCTTAGTCAATACACAGCATGGGAGCGCGGGAGGAGGTGAAGCGAGAAGGGGGGGGAGGAAACAGAGGAGGGGAAGTGAAGAATTAGGGGAGAGAGGAAGGGGAAGGGGAAACTGGGGAGGGGGAACGAAAACACGGGGGAGGAAGGAAGAGGGGGTAGCAGGGGAGGAAGAGGGAAAGGGTAGTGGAGGAGGGAAGAGGGGAGGGCAGAGAAGACGAAGAAGTGGGAATAGGGGAGAGGGGATGAGGAAGAAGAAAGTGGATCAGGGAGGGGAAGTGGGAGTAAGGGAGAGGAGGAGAGATGAAGGACTGGTGGAAAGAGGGAGGGGGGGTGATAAAAAAATTGATGGTGGAAAACTGAGGTTAAGAGGACACGGAAAGAGGAACTTGTGAGGGAGTTTAAGACTTTAAAATGTGAAGAAATTGGGCTTAAGCTTGATTTCGTCGACGAACAGAGAGTTTAGAAAGAGAGAGAGAGAGAGAGAGAGAGAGAGAGAGAGAGAGAGAGAGAGAGAGAGAGAGAGAGAGAGAGAGAGAGAGAGAGAGAGAGAGATTGAGAGGGGGGCAGAGAGACAGAGAGAGAACGAGACAGAGACAAAAAGAGAAAGATCGCAAAGAAGGAAAGGAAAAGAACGAGAGAAAAAAAACACGGAAAGGCAAAAAAAAAAAAAAAGGACAAAAAGAAAAGAAAAGTGAACAGAACGAAAGAATGAAGACCCCCACGAGAGGACGACAATCATCTTAAAGAAAAAATCGAGAGCGCAAACAAACAGCAAAGGAAGAAAAAAACTTAGATGGGCTTCGGGGTCAAGGTGAGTAGAAGGTCAGCGAGATACCGAGGAAGGGGACAAATTTGACGTAAATCGCTAAAGGGCAAAAGAAAATACCGAACGGGAGGGAAATGCCGGTGAACGAGTGAGG